TGGTCTTTTATTAAACTCTCCAGTATCTTCCCAACTATAGAAGTTAAACTAACAGGTCTATAATTACTTGGTAAAGATTTTGATCCCTTTTTAAATGCAAGTACCACATTGGCCTTACGCCAATCCAGTGGTACCATGCCAGTCAATAGGAGATGCCCTTGCAATCTGACAGATTATGCTTCATATCACCCCACAGATTTTTGATCGGATTCAGGTCTGGGCTCTGGCTGGGCCATTCCAAAACTTTAATCTTCTGGTGAAGCCATTCCTTTGTTGATTTGGATGTATGCTTTGGGTCGTTGTCATGCTGTAAGATGAAGTTCCTCTTCATGTTCAGCTTTCTGGCAGAAGCCTGAAGGTTTTGTGCCAATATGGACTGGTATTTGGAAATGTTCATAATTCCCTCTACCTTGACTAAGGCCCCAGTTCCAACTGAAGTAAAACAGCCCCAAAGCATAATGCTGCCACCACCATGCTTTACTGTTGGTATGGTGTTCTTTTGGTGATGTGCAGTGTTGTTTTTGCGCCAAACATAACTTTCAGAATTATGGCCAAAACGTTCAACCTTGGTTTCATCAGACTATAACACATTTTCCCACATGCTTTTGGGAGACTGAAGATGTATTTTTGCAAAATATATCCAGGCTTGGAAGTTTTTCTTCATACGAAAAGGCTTCCGTCTTGCCACTCTACCCCATAGCCCAGACATATGAAGAATACAGGAGATTGTTGTCACATGTATCACATGGCCAGTACTTGCCAGATATTCCTGCAGCTCCTTTAATGTTGTTGTAGGCCTCGGCAGCCTCCCAGACCAGTTTTCTTCTCATCTTTTCATCAATTTTGGAGAGACGTCCAGTTCTTGGTAATATCACATTTGCGCCATATTTTCTCCACTTGACAATGACTGCCTTCACTGTGTTCCATGGTATATCTAATGCTTTGGAAATTCTTTTGTACCCTTCTCCTGACTGATACCTTTTAACAATGAGATCCCTCTGATGCTTTGGAAGCTATCTGCGGAACATGGCTTTTACTGTAGGATACGACTAAGAAAATGTCAGGAAAGACCTACTAGAACAGCTGAACTTTATTTGGGGTTAATCAGAGGCACTTTAAATGATGGCAGGTGTGCACTGACTCCGATTTAACATGATTTTGAATGTGATTGCTTAATTTCTGAACACAGCTAGATCCAGAGTTATAAGAGGGTGTGCACGCTTATGCAACCGCATTATTTTAGTTTTTTAGGTTTACTTCCCCCACCCCTAAAAGATTTCAGTTTGTTTTTCAATTGAGCTGTACAGTTTATAGGGCACATTAAAAAGGTGGAAAAAGTTCTGAATATATTTCTCTTTCTCTAATTTTTTTACATCACAGAAACCTGACATTTTAACAGGGGTGTGTAGACTTTTTATATCCACTGTACTTACCAAAAGTAGGGAGAATAGATCAGCATCATATAGTACAGAAGGCAACAAAAAGCTGGAAAATGTTATATGTTAATGGGACTAGAAAAACAACTGAGTTATATGGTCACGGGATGCGGGGGAACAGAAGAGCCTGGATACAGGAGTGACTGGAGTAGCAGAGTCAATGATATGAGATACTGGAGTTGATTTACTAAACGCAAACAGGCTGTTCACATTGCAAGGCAATTTTCCACAAATTCAGTGAAGTTTTGCTTTGCCATGAATACACAATCGTGTGCAAGAAAAAGAAAAAAATCAGCATCCCTGCTTGCACATTTGGACAATTGAGGTCAGCAGAGCTTCACTTCATTCACTTAACTGAAAAGCAGAAGTGTGAAAAAGAGTGTGCAATCTATGTGAGTGATAGAACTTACATGACAGTTGTTGGCAAATTTACCAGTAAAGTACATATTTCATTAGTCATTATTAGCAGTCAAGTGTGCTGGCTGCTATTAGGAAGTTTTTAGGACCCCCAAAACATTAGTGGTCTGTAGAAGTTGTTAGACAAAGCCAAATAATGAGTCTAATACTGATACTCTCTATTGATGTTTAGGGCTTCCTCTTTCTCCTCCAAGTGAAGATGAAGACCATCTACTACAAGCTGAATATTCAAGATTACATTGCATGTTGCTTAGGTTTATAATCCGTTATAAAATAAAAAATGTTTGATTTTAGGACTAAGTTGCCTCAAGAGTTATTGAAAAACACTAAGCAATTTTATTATTTACTTGTTTTCCTATCTTATTGACTGCTTTGTGTCAGATGGTCTATATTTGTTGATTTAGGGGAAACACATACATTTATTTATATATATACTCCACTTCCACTGAAAATGTAGGGAGGAAGGGGGAAGGGTCTGCTTGAGCTATTAAACTCTGTAAGCAACATTTTTTTTTTTTCAAACAAGAAGGAGCCAAGGAGGCAGAAGAAAACATGTAAACAAATATATTGTAACCACACTTTTAGGCTGGATATAAGAATACTTTATACTTATATACAAGGTTTCATATTTATCCGACAAGCATATTTAAACAATAAAAGAAAAAATAATCTTTACCAAGAAAGAAAGAAATATGTATAAAATACTACATTTCCTTTGAAGTCACAAAAGCAATTAATTTTTTTTGGGGGGGGACTACAACAAGTTCACAATGAGAAGTGTGAATGACTTATTAAACAAAGTCAGTCTTTTTAAAGTAGTCTTTTATATAGATTTATGAAGGAATAATGATATAAAGATCTATTAGTAGGATATTTATCAGGTTGCACACTGTGTGTTATTCTTGCCCTTTCTTCTCTCAGTGATAAACAAGGACTTTGCTGCAAATTCATTATCTCTCCAGTACTGTCAGACCGGGATGCTGAGTACAGTCTCTGACACAGAGATAGGCTGGCCATACACTATACAATTTTCTGTCCAATTTCTGCCCAATTTCCTTTAGATTTACCTTCAACCATGTAGTGCAAGGGCCTGCCTAATTGGATACAATTGAAAGTGTTGATTAGGTTTGACCTCATATTATATGGTTTTGGTAAATCTAAAGCAAAAATCTCAAGAAAATTGTATAATGTATGGCCAGCCATAGTCTCTAGAAGGAGAATCTACAACCCTATGTAAATTATTTTTCCAGTCTGAAGACAAGTATTGCTTCGCAGACTATATTATAGGGCACAGGACAAACCTTTCAATTAAAGGATAATGCACATCTTTTTGCAGTTAAAATACTGTGCATTTCTTTTTTTTTCTACTAGGAGCTTAGAAAGCATCACACCTGCAATCAGCAGACCGCAGGTGCCATCCAAGAAAATAATGACAGGTTGATAGAGGAAACATTACATGTACTGAAGAGTGAGTTTTAGAAGCATGGGGTTACAGAGCAGAAATTAAAGTGGAATCCCTGTACAACACAATAGCACAATACCATATCATAAAGAGACTCCATGCTATTAGATTTAAGGCTTAAAGTGATAGTTCACCTTTACAGAAAAAGGGAGAGAAAAGGTGGCCTCCCCACAACCCCCTATTCCACCCCCTTCCCCGGTCCCTACCACTGTACTTGCTTCCATGGGTGATGAGTTGTCATTGCCCACGCACCTGATGCAACGGTTCGGAGGGATGTCCTCACGCTTTTCGACATCTGTTTTCTTTATATGTGCTGAGCGGAAGAGGCGATTTAACGCAGTCCCTGTTGGACATATCCCGTGATAGCTTTGCTGCAGCAGATCCTAGGCATCCATGAGCACATTAAGACCACCAATAACTTGGGATCTTTTGGATTGGTAAGATGCTGTTTTGTGGCAACAGTGGCGGAACTCACTGGGAAGCTCAATATTTTGATTCTTTTTAAGTTTCACCAGTGGTGTTGACACAAATTCACTGATTCATTCTAATTTTTTATTTTCTTTAAAGTTACAGTGCAATAATATTATTTCACCAACGCTACTAAGACAGAAAGAATAACATTACAAGCCACAGATTAGATAAAGTAATCCTTAAAGAGAAATTATGTTTATTTCTCAAAAAAAATAAACCACTTACAAGGCCAGGAGTCCAGCGCTGTCCTCACCAGAGCCAGTTCCTCAGGTCCCTGGCACTGCCATCTTGACTATGGGAAGCGGTCTGTAGCTTGCTACTGTTTCACAGCTCGCTTGACACTACGTGTGCATGAGATGAGTTGCGCTTTGTCTTGCAGCCTTTTGGGACATGTGATGTGTCCCAAGAGGTTGCATGCAGGGAGGGGGGCAGGTGAAACTTTCATAGTGCTCGCTTAGGTGAGAACGGACCATTGCAACCAGGACTGAAAGTGAAGGAAAATCTAGAGCTTTGTTTTGTCAGCAAAACAGAAATAGAGGGGAAGCCTTTTAATGGACAACTGTCTAAATTTTGCTTTCCTCTCACCTCCTGTTTTGTCAAATGTTACAACTGTGGGTATAGAATTATAACTTTTTTTTTATATAGTTAAACTAGATGGTCTTTTTTCTTTTTTCAGCCAGACTAACTATGTAACTATGTAAAATGAATGGTAATCTCCCTAAGGAAAGAGAGATGACAAAAAAAAAAAAAAACGCAATAGGGGTTATAACCATGCCCCACCCAATCCAAAAGTTTAAAAAAATGCTTTATATTGTACGCAAGCCATTTACTGTCCTACAAAAGTGAAAACATTTGCTGTTTGCCACAACCAATAAGAATCTTGAATTCTAGCGCAGTATGAAAAATAGATGAAATTACGTGGTTAGTTGTTACTGTTGATCAATCTTTATACAAGAGCCAAGCTGGGCTGCATTCAAAAGGCATAGGTAAACTTGTGTGTAAGCCCTTAGTAAAAATTGCTCATCTAGTGACACTAGACTTCTTAAAGTCAATAGCTGACAGGTTGCTATAAGAATTATAATGCTATCTACCTTTTTTTCTTTTACCAAATATTTCTCAAAGTGAGGAATTACTTACTCTCCAACTTTCTATATGTCACTTTTCAGGAATAGCAGCTCTTATTAATTCTATAGAAAGCTGTATAATAAACTTACTTGGCTTTATCCTTCAACCATTCAGGGTTTTTTTCTTCTTCCTTTAAGTCTTGAATCTCAAGGCTCTCAGTGATAATAGCTCTGCGCGCTGCTGCCTGCTTCTGCAACCACTATAATATAAATCAAAAAATAACCATGGCGTGAACCCTCACAGACAACATTCTCTTTCTTTTTATATTAAAAGTTCTCCTCTGCAAAAGAACAACTTTTTAATAGAAATGAACTCAGAAAAAAAAAAAAAAAAAATCAGAGATTCAAGACTTATTGTATTATGTCTGGCAACATTCTATGAAGGTGCTGCGTGAGCAACAAAGGCCAAATGTGTCTGCAGAAAAAAATGTTCCTTAACTACCAGCCTGTTTTATGCTGCCAACAATCCCATACTTACATTTGCTGCAATAGAAGTTATGCAAGAAGCCTTGAACTTGCACATAAAGGATGGCATTCTAGACAGACAGTAGCTCATGTGTTGATTAGGAAGGCGTCAAACAAATCAGAGATGTTACAGAAATACTTCACTGTCTTTTATTGAGTCAAAACTATTTAAACAGTTTCAGGTATGAGCAATAAGGCTGCATTCACACTTGAATACGGAGTTTTTGTACAATTTTTCAAGCTTTTTATTGCACATTTTTATGCATGTTATTTAAGCGTTTTTGTACCACGTCTTTACAGCATTTTTGAGCGTTGGTGTTTTTTTAATTAGCCAGTAAAGAAAAAAAATCATATGTTTCATTATTTCTTACCACGTTTTTCAGCTTTTCATCTGCTTTTACTGATTATTTATTTAGGATTTTTAATTATTTATTTTTGTTAGGGTTTTGTTAGGGTTTTGGGGTTAATTAATTGTATTATTTATTGTTATTAACCACTCCGGAAGATTTTACCCCCTTCATGACCAGGCCACTTTATGCTGCTTAGTGCTGCGCTGCTTTAACTGGTATTGGTGCGTTCATGCAATGCTGTACCCAAACAAAATTTATATAGTTATTTTTACACAAATAGAGCTTTCTTTTGGTGGTATTTGATCACCACTGGGTTTTTTATTTTTTGCGATGAATGAAAAAAGACTGAAAATTCAGAAAAAAAAAAACAATATTTTTTTACTTTCTGCTATAAATATATCTCCAAAAAAAAATGTAAAAAACCAAATCTAACTTTTTCATAAATTTTGTCCAAAATCTATTCTGCTACAGGTCTTTGATAAAAAGAAAATCTCAATAAGTGTGTATTGATTGGTTTGCGTGAAAGTTATAGGACCTACAAACTATGGTATATATACTGGAATATTTTTTTTTTATACTACTAATGGCGGTGATCAGCGACTTATAATGGGACTGCGATGGATGTGCGGTGGACAATCTGACACTAACTAAATGTTGGGGGGAACTGACATCACCAGTGACATTAATACAGTGATAACAGTATAAACTATCACTGCATTAATGACATTGGCTAGGAAGGGGTAAATATTTAGGGTAAACGAGGGGTTAAATCTGTGCCTAACTATGTTGGTTTGTAAAGTGTGCTGCATTTACTAATAGATCTCTAAGTTTCTCATCCCTGCTTTGCAGCCGTTTAGCAGGTCCCAGCTTTTATTCATTGGCGGGACTTGCTGACAGGCACCTGCTGTGTACAGAGTGTGCCAGCCAGGGGTGGCGCATCCGGGCGCCTAAAAGTTTGGGTATGTCGCTTTGCCAACAGTGGCCGCTCGTCTGCAGATGGGTACTCCTTAAAAGGTAAATGTATTTATTTTAGGGTTAGAGATTAATTTATTGATTTTTTATTTGTTATGTATTTATTTATTATTAATGTAGTTAGTTGTTGTTTGGGGGTTAGGGTAAATCGCAGTACCATGTGATTTGGTGCGGAATGTTTTTTTCAATCAGTTGAAGGGGCTGCAAAAATCACACTGCACGGGAATGTGAAGGAATCGATCCCAGCGTGAAATGATCCTAAAAAAGAGGCATCTTTACAAGATTGTTACTCTCCGTTTTGAATTGTGGGTCTGTGATCTGGGAGTGCCACATGGTAAACCAGTTCTCTTGCATCTCAAGAGCCAGTCAATGTGGGTCATGTTCATGATACACCCAACTGGCAGTGTCCCTAGGCAGACCAAGGCTGTATCTCCCAGCTAGCCTTGGAATCCTCCAGTGGCACTTTGAGTCCATGATGGAGTAAAGGGAATGGCTTGGCTGCTCAGTCTATTTCCCCTACATCCCAAACAGGATAAAGAAGATGCTTAGGATAAAGATGAAGCCATGTTTCCCAAAAGATTTAATGGCTAGCAAAAGACTTGGCATTCTATGACTTAAAGTGTATAAAACCCAAAATCTATTACACTGCAGCTTACCATTCCTTAGAGGTAGCACCTAAATTAATTTTCTTTTTCTTGGCTTTTACCATTTTTTTTTACCTGGTGAACCAGTCAGTAGCATACTTCCTGTTCTAGGGTGACAGAACTCACTTACTGTACTACATCTGTTAGGAGCAGTGTTGTCACCCTAGGCAGCGCTTTTGATTTGGACTGCAAACACCTCCCCTACTCTGTATTTCGAGTGTTTATAGTTTTGTAGCTCACAGAAGATAGCTAAAAAAAAAAAAAGTCGATATCGCTGTTTAAAATATCAGTACGGTGCAAAGGAAGCTGCAGTGACACTGGATCTCTAGCAGGATTTACAGGTATTTTTCTCTGCTTGTAGAAAGTGTTTTTAGCCTAAGAGAAGGAACCAATGTAGCGAACACATCTAAGAACTGAAAATCTGTCAATTATTACAATGTTGTTCTTGGATTTAGACATCCTTTAATCACTATTTTGTGCAATGGCATCCTTCTGGCAGTCTAGCTTCTTACCTCTTCCTCTTCTGCCAGACGAGATTCCCTGACAGCTGTAGGGAAAACACGGGGGGTAAACTGAATTTGTATACTGCAGCATTTCCTGGTGGGAGGCAAAATCTTTTCACTGGCAGGTTTTTCAGATGCTGAAAAATAAGACAAAATTGTTTACTTTTTTGCTTACATTTTTATCCTAAAAGCAATTGTTAGCACGATGGCCATAATTGCAAGATAATGTAAAATGAAAATGCAATTCATTCTGGCCTCTTCTGTGATTAAATCATTGTGTTAAGTGATATGAAATGACCAAATTTGTGACAATGTTCTCACTAATTCAAACGCAACCATTTTAGCAGTTGGAGGGGTTCAGAACAACGGTTCTTTTGCATAGCATATTGGCATATGAGGCTTGTTAGCTTATTATCAGCTGCATTTACAGTCAGGTCCATAAATATTGGGACATTGACACAATTCTAACATTTTTGGCTCTATACACCACCACAATGGATTTGAAATGAAACAAACAAGATGTGCTTTAACTGCAGACTGTCAGCTTTAATTTGAGGGCATTTACATCCAAATCAGGTGAACGGTGTAGGAATTACAACAGTTTGCATATGTGCCTCCCACTTGTTAAGAGACCAAAAGTAATGGGACAGTTGGCTTCTCAGCTGTTCCATGGCCAGGTGTGTATCATTCCCTCATTATCCCAATTACAATGAGCAGATAAAAGGTCCAGAGTTAATTTCAAGTGTGCTATTTGCATTTGGAATCTGTTGCTGTCAACTCTTAAGATGAGATCCAAAGAACTGTCACTATCAGTAAAACAAGCCATCATTAGGCTGAAAAAAAAAACAAAACAAACCCATCAGAGAGATAGCAAAAACATTAGGTGTTCGCAAAACAACTGTTTTGAACATTCTTAAAAAGAAGGAACATACCGGTGACCTCAGCAACACTAAAAGACCCGGAAGACCACGGAAAACAACTGTGGTGGATGACCGAAGAATTCTTTCCCTGGTGAAGAAAACACCCTTCACAACAGTTGGCCAGATCAAGAACACTCTCCAGGAGGTAGGTGTATGTGTGTCAAAGTCAACAATCAAGAGAAGACTTCACCAGAGTGAATACAGAGGGTTCAACACAAGATGTAAACCATTTGTGAGCCTCAAAAACAGGAAGTCCAGATTAGAGTTTGCCAAACGACATCTAAAAAAGCCTTCACAGTTCTGGAACAACATCCTATGGACAGATGAGACCAAGATCAACTTGTACCAGAGTGATGGGAAGAGAAGAGTATGGAGAAGGAAAGGAACTGCTCATGATCCGAAGCATACCACCTCATCAGTGAAGCATGGTGGTGGTAGTGTCATGGCGTGGGCATGTATGGCTGCCAATGGAACTGGTTCTCTTGTATTTATTGATGATGTGACTGCTGACAAAAGCAGCAGGATGAATTCTGAAGTGTTTTCGGGCAATATTATCTGCTCATATTCAGCCAAATGCTTCAGAACTCATTGGACGCCGCTTCACAGTGCAGATGGACAATGACCCAAAGCATACTGCAAAAGCAACCAAAGAGTTTAAGGGAAAGAAGTGGAATGTTATGCAATGGCCAAGTCAATCACCTGACCTGAATCCGATTGAGCATGCATTTCACTTGCTGAAGACAAAGCTGAAGGGAAAATGCCCCAAGAACAATCAGGAACTGAAGACAGTTGCAGTAGAGGCCTGGCAGAGCATCACCAGGGATGAAACCCAGCGTCTGGTGATGTCTATGCGGTCCAGACTTCAGGCTGTAATTGACTGCAAAGGATTTACAACCAAGTATTAAAAAGGGAAAGTTTAATTTATGATTATTATTCTGTCCCATTACTTTTGGTCCCTTAACAAGTGGGAGGCACATATGCAAACTGTTGTAATTCATACACTGTTCACCTGAGTTGGATGTAAATACCCTCAAATTAAAGCTGACAGTCAGCAGTTAAAGCACATTTTGTTTGTTTCATTTCAAATCCATTGTGTTGGTGTATAGAGCCAAAAATGTTAGAATTGTGTCGATGTCCCAATATTTATGGACCTGACTGTATATGGGGGAGGGGTAAAAACTGCCTTATTTTAATCTTGATATAATCAATAATTTGACAGATTCAATAACATCATTCATATTTCTGATCAGTTTGAGGAGAGAGAAAATCTTAGCACTTTAAACAGATAACCAAGCTAACTGAGGATCAATACAAACAATCAGTGACAATTACTCTGTGTCATGTATTACATCCACCAATACTATGCGAACGTCCAACGGAATGAGGAAAGTGCATACACCTTTTTCTTGTTGAATTTCTCTATTAAGGAGATTGCATATTCCTTGCTGTATTATGCAATCAGTATATAAAGAACATTGTTTCCACGCAGGGAGAATCAAAAGCACATACTTTTGAAGGTTTAGTTGACCTTCAACCAATGTTTCAGTTTTTGGAGTACACTGAAGATTTAGACCACTAAGTGCTTACTCAAGTTCAAGACTTTTGTAATAAGATCTCTGTGCTCCCCAAATCTACACATCAGCCACAGCCAATACAAAGGGATTACATTTTTTCCATTGGATTTTTAATTCAATTTTGTATTTTTTTCTGATTTCAACAGAAAGGCCAGAAAAAAAGCCAAATTGGGTGGAAGTTCTCAGCACACCAAGGTTGACAAGAACAGAGCGAAGAACCACGGATATGGACATTCATGTTATCAGAATATCCAACAGATATAAGAAACCAAAAAGGATGACTCGGTCAAGCAGACTCCACCTATAACTGAAACTATCAAAATTATGATTTAACATGAACCATTTTAGAACTTTCCAATGTTAAAGCTTGACCTAAGAACAATCACTGCAAGATGCCACATATTAGCCAGTTTCCTCTTCCATTCTTATTTTATTTGTATTATTTATTTCAGGTACATGTATAGTGCTGTCAGTTTACGCAGGGCTTTACATATATATTGAACATTCAGATCAGTCCCTAACCCTCAAGGGGTGTACAATCTAAGGTCCCTAACTCACATTCATACATACACATACTAGGGACAATTTAGACAGGAGTGAATTAACCTACCAGCATATGTTTGGAGTATGGGAGGAAACTGGAGTACCCAGAGGAAACCCAACGCAGGCACAGGGAGAACATGCAAACTCCAGGCAGGTGGTGACGTGGTTGGGATTTGAGCCAGCAACCCTAGTACTGCCAGGCGGAAGTGCTAACCATTTAGCCACTGTGCTGCCTGTTCTTATTTAGTTTCACGGACTGACTTTTGTGGAGCTCACAATTCTGTGCCAACTGAAATTCCAGTGTCCCCTAAGACTGCCTCTGCGGCCCTTAAGGCTAAACCCATTGGACAGCAGAATGGTAGTAGATGCAATTTAGCCAGTAAAGCATAACACATTTCACATAATTTTTGTATTGTCCTGTTTGCCATTATCCCTCAAAGTGAAAGAAGGACCAAAATGATGAGATGTCACCAGAACAGGAGCAGAGAAGAAATCTCCCAATGGGGACACTTTGTTTCGTGACCCATGTGACAAATAGAGATTCTACAATCAATCAATAACCACAGTAGTAGAAAATCATAAGAACAGGGCAGTGATCTGAAAGGATCTAGATAACCTCCATTTTGTTAATGTACGCCATTTTAAGTATTAAGTTAGCTTTTTGCAGATATATTAGAAGCTTAATGAAACTGTTGTAGTTGTTCAAGGATGTATCAACAGAAGCCAACATGACCCTGACAATGTCTTTGTCTGGTTGTTTCTCAGAAAGCTAGCCAAAACAATTTATACCAAGAAATGTATATGTCATGTAGTTAGCTCATGATGGAAATTTACAAGTTACAGTTTTGAAACTCGCTCCCCCCTCCCTTATGTTATCTGTATTCTATAAAATCTTAGTAATGTCTAATAAACTTTGAACATCTCTGAACATAAGCTGCCGTTATTTCCGTGTTCAAGGGGTGTTCCCAGTTCTGCTGATAAACCAGGAATCTCTCCACAGACCGGGGGTCTCTGAGGGGATAAAGAAAATCATCCTTTCATGATCCAAATAGTGGATGCATCTAACTCTCAGGTATGTTAACAAACGGGAGAGGGGCTCCATATTCTAGCCAATCAAGGGGCAGGAATGACCAAGGCTGGTTTTGTCAGACACTCCCATATGTGAATGCCACCTCATCAAATCTAACATAAGCATCAAGCTGCCAAAAGTAGAATATGTGATGTGATATCCACCTCTGTGGTTAACATACTTGAGAGATGGATGCAGCCACTGCTGGGAACACTGCCCTGTTCTTTAACTTTTGTACTACTGTGTTTATAGATTGATTGCTGTTTTGGTGACAACTATTCTCCCATATTTTCCTGGAGAAGAGGGAGCTGACCTGAGAAATGCATTGAAGTCTAATATCCCGATATGCACCTGTTATGGAAATATGTATTAAGACATAACTTGTAAATTTATATTGATTTTTTGGGATGAAATACTGTATTTTTTAATATGGATGTATAATGAACAAACGTGCAATATACTTTTTATCTTGGAATTTTAAATGGAAGAATAAAAATTGTGTACTTTAGATAATTAGTTTGTGACCTCGTACCTTTAAAGTCCTTTTATGGTTAGGGAGTTTCACTTGTCTGATGTTTAGTATGTGGTACCTTTAATAAGGTTTATAATTGTAGAGTGCCCCCTTTTTGGTTGTGTTTTTGATAAAATATGTGAAATAGGTTTACAGTACTTGTGTAAAAAAATTTACAATCCCAATTTCAAAAAAGTTGGGACACTGTGTAAAATCTAAATAAAAACAGAATGCAATGATTTTCAAATTTCATAAACCCATATTTTATTCACAATAGAACATAGAAAACATATTAAATGTTTAAACTGAGAAAATTGACCATTTTAATAAGATAATTTTGAAATGGATGGCAGCAACATGTCTCAAAAAAATTGGGGACAGGGCCAGAAAAAGCTGGCAAAGTAAATGGTACTAACAAGGAAGAGCTGGAAGATTTTGCAACTAATTAAGTTAATTGGCAACAGGTCAGTAATATGACTGGGTATAAATAGAGCATTTTAGAGAGTCAGAATGTCTCAGA